AAAAAATATAATTAACGTAGTTAGAAGTATACTTTTTTTTCTTACATTTTTCCAATTACTCCTACATTAAATAATAGTTTAATTATGAGTTATTCATATTTGTTAATAAAAAGACAGATAAAATTTGTTAACAATATCTAGGGATGTTCAGTACAGATTCTTATAGTACTGTTCGGAGAGTCGATAAACTAATTCCCGTGGATGTCTGTCTTTTTTTTCTTATTCCTTCTTGAAAATGAAAAAAAAAACCATTCGTATTCATAACTTAAGTTAAATGATCAAATTAATCCTCAATTTTTTCATAATAAAATCACAATCAGTCTGCAGTTGCAAAAAATGTCTTGATCGAATATTTTTGTAACCTGAAATAAGAATATTAAGATGGCAATTAGAAGAAAGTAAAGATAAAAATACAGCACAGATGACAAAACTGAGAATTTAACTTGTTAATACTTAACGCCGTTTTAACAGAGTAATTAACGCCAAAATAAAAAAATCTTCACAAAGGGGGAATCTGAGAACTATTCTAAACAGACCCTAACGTCATGCTACTGTCACGATAACGTTATGCTAGCTAGCTAGCTCTTTATTTGAAAATTCAAATAAAATTTGCCCCCTTCCCTTCTTTTCCTTCTACATACAAACTGAGGATTTTGGCTGTACTACCCTGTCTGCGATAGTATTCGGGAGTATGGGACCCCCGATGATCACCAATCCTTTAATCGTATTTTAATCATAATTAATTAATCAAATAAAACCCGATCTTTTAATCATGCTTCATCCCGTCCACTTCAAAAATACTTGACTGAACTGGAGGGAAATAGATGTACAACCCCATAGCATCCCTATTCTTGAATATAGAGCATGTTTGAACTTCATTTTATTGTAAGAATACATTTTGAAATAACATATTGATGGAGGGAAAATTTTTGAATTTGCTTGTAATATTATTTTATTAAAAAATGTGGTTGAAAAAAAGATATAAAAAATATATTTTGAAAATAATGAGATTAAACAATGATAATATTATTCTTTGCATAGATTCCATCACAATTATTTATATTTTCATTTTCTCGTGAAACTTGTCCTTGGATGCTGAAATTATTCATTAAACTCTTTTTTCAAACAAAGAAACCCTAATTTACCTCATGTTTGATGTCGGGAGGTCAATTTGGCTCGAGCGACCCTTAGTTCAACCCGGAAAAAGATTGAGCTGGCACGAGTCGAGCCTCATTTTTTGGCATCGATCCGAGCCTAAGCAAACCCCTTTTAGCTGCCTGCATAAAACGCAGGTAGTCAAACAAAAGGCAACAACACGACTACCTGAAACAGGCAGTGTAGCTGCGTGTAGGCCGCTTAGCTTCCTTTAAACGAAAAAATATATCGAGCATTCGAGCCCCTTAGCTTGATAAGGCCCAAGTCGAAAGCCCGAGCCAAGCAAAGATTTTCCAGTCCAACTTTTGCTTGGCTCGGGCAACAAAAAAAATTCGAGGCCATTTTTTACCCGAGGCATTCTAAGCCACAAGTTTTGGGTTGTCCGTTTATTTTGAGATATTAAAGTTTTGAATAGTGATTTTTTTGTAGAATAAGTGGTAAAAATTAAAATTTATGTGTAAAATATTTTATTAGATAAATACGTGGTTGAAAATAAATAGGAGAATTAAAGAATATCGAAATAATATTTGTCAAATCGGGGTTGATTAGTTCCGTAATTAGTTAAGAAATGAAATATTTGTGTGGATGTAACCTTATTGGAACTATATAGCATTACTTACCTAGAAACGGTAAAAGCCCGCAATAATAAATAATAATCACCGCTTAATTGAAAAGGACCGTTTGGACCCACACGCAAATACGATGGATTATAAACCAGTGAGATGAGACAGCGGTCAATTTCATTAGCGACACTGCCCATAGGCGCCCACTTATAGGGATCAGGTAGCATTGAAGGCGATGATTGCTACGTGTCCTTTGTTTCATCAGAAGGACAATTTTTAAATTCAGAGATTTTGAAAGTGTTGAACATCTATTATTCCCATAGCGTTCTTATTTTCTAATTTTTATTAATTATTCCCATTTTATTCATATGACGATTTTTATCTAACACTCTGTTAGCGTATTTTAAAATGATGAATAAAGGCCCGTTCGATAGAGATTAAAATCGAATTAAAATTAAAAAAATTAGAGACCTAATAACAACTATATTTTTAATTTTAATTGAATTTTAAATTTAGCCAAACATGCTCTAAATATTTAATCATAATTTGTATGCATCTTTTTGCTTATTCAAAAATAGCAAAGAAAATTGTTAGTAGAGGCATGATATGATAATTAGTGAAAATTTAATATACAGTACAATAAAAACGTTGGGAACTTAAGTGTGACATCGAGTAAGAATTATGGACTTTTCATACAATTAAAATACGATGAACTGAAATATAAAGATCAATCTCGCCGGATGTGATCTTTTATTTTGCAATTTGTTATGCAAATAGTATATAATCATCTTCAACCACTCCATTTTTATATCTTGGGATCAACGCACGATTTCCTTTACCCTTATTGGCTAATGAGTAACCTCGAGTTCTTCTTACTCATTTAATCGCTTCATAGTTGTCTTTGCCGTCTAATCATATCCTTTTATCAATTCGTCATAGTTCCAAGCATCATTCTCTTCAATAGCAAAAGAATAGGAGATTGGCAATGACTTTATTATTTTGTTATTTTAAAAGTATTTATTTAATCCCTCTATAAATGAAATTATATATCATATGCTAGACACCTGATAATTAATGATGAAATTAGAGGAAATCTTTTCATACAAATGCAAATGTTTGAAATAAGAATAATGTTATTCACAATGAAAACTATCGATAGTCGTCCTACTTGGTATACATATAATAGTTTGTTGTTTGATGTATGAAGCAATAAAAAAAAATTACCATATTAATGCATCAAATAACAAAATATCATGTGTATGTCACGTAGGACGACTATCGATAGTCATAAAAGAAAAACAATAAATACTACTCATCTATCACTCATTTCTTTTAATTCATAGTTTAACTAAAATGCTAGATGTACAAGTGTACATCCCTTTTGACATTTGACGTGTTGTTAAAAAATTATTTAAAGAAAAATTATTTATTTTTTAAAAATTGTTCAATAGTGTGTTAAAAGGCAATAAAATATAAATGATGATGTACACGTGACGTGTTGGATAATTTTTAATCAATTAACAGATTCCTCTGCCTTCTTTTGACTATGCCGTATTCAGATATCTTCTAATTATTCAGCTTTCCCAAGTCACATGGGTTAACGGCACAGGTACAGTGAAACAGTAGAATAACGTTAAAAAGGATATACTTGGAACTCGCGCTGTACGCGTTGATTGAAACACGAGCTTATAACACGGCTTCACTGTCAGAGCTCTCCTCCACTTTAAGGAAAATGCCATTTTGTCAGAATTTGAAAAAAAAAGAAAATTGAACCCCAATTTTGAGGGCCCTCCACCACCTCGTCCCTAGAGTATCGTGAAAGAGGTAAATCACAGAATGTGCCTCAACAAGTAAGGGTACAAAAGTTGTCATACTGATACCCACAAAGAGTCAAATTCAATGTCTTGTGAGAGGCAGAAATCGAACACTCACACTACGGCTGCCAGCTAGTTGAGATTACCTTACTCCTGTCCTTTGCATTACTGATTGTCTACCAATATTTCAAAAAATTATTGGCTATAGTAAGATTCTCCAACACACATTCATTCAATAAAATATTTTACACACAAATCAATAAAATTAATTTAATTTTCAACCACACATTCTTCAAAAAAATATCATTCATTACTCTATTTTTCTCTCAATAATGAGGGACAAACACACCCTAATTTATATTTGATGCGATTCCAACTCTTTACCTCTTAAACTTATCTCGACCCTTCTATTGCTACTTATTCTTAACCTTCTCGGCGGTCTCTGTTGTGAATGAGAGCTGAGGGACCTCTAGTTGCTCCTGGAATGTAGCATTAGGCTTCTCAACCATTATATGTTATTTTCGAGATCCGAGCTTACCCATATTTTAAATTAAGTCCCTGTTTTGATGGTCATTATAAAGAGAAATCGGAAAAAATGATATTTTGAACAATGATTTTTTGGAGAATAAGTAGTTAAAAAAGTATGAATTTTTTTAAAAATTCACGTGCAAAATATTTTATTGCGTAAATGTGTGATACAATTAAATCTCATTATATCATCTATTGATAAACTATTATGTAAATTATTAGTACATACAGCACAACCCATCCATGAAAAATGTTTCTTATACATAGCTATTTATATAATGATGATGAGTCAAAATATACGTGGAAAAGTTATTGGATTGATGAGATTTTGATCTAATTAAATCTCGCAATATCATCTGTTGGTAATTAATTATTTAAATTATTATATACATGTAGCACGAACCTCCAAAGGAAAAAGAATCAATCTACTTACCGATGTTTATGAAATGTGACAACAAGTGATTGGATGACGGTGTTGATTTTGTTTTTAAACTGACCAATGATATAATGTCATGTCAAGAAATATGACAAAATTGTCGGACAATGTAGCAAGATTGAAGGAAAAAATACGAAATTTAATGATAAATTTTCCTTACTTAAAAAGTAGATATTTATCTCTATGAAATTAATTAAACCATGGTTTAAAAATATCCGTACATTTACATCGTGCGTGTCCCGAGGAACGCGGTTTTTTCCACCCCTGCACCGCCTTATTTATTCCCAACTCCTCTCCTCCCTTAGTCTACACTTTTCCCTTCCCTTCCCTTCTCCTCTTATCTTATCTCTACTCACTGTGTTTCCTCTAAACATCTGTATTATTCAAACATTTCCTTTTTTCGCTTGATATAATAAAGCTAGTTTCGATTGTTTGTTTGTAATTTTCGATTAGTTTGATCAAATTTTGATTGCGAATTTGGTTTTTACTCCACAAGGTCTAAGAATGGCAGCGTCTGATAATCTTCTTACCGTTGAACAGCAGCCATGGAGGTTAGGTCTGGGAATGGCGGATGGTTGGATATCTGATTTCTTCACCAAAGAAACAGAGACCCTAACAAAAGCTTTAACGAAATCGTATACAAATTCCTCTCCAATCGACTGCACATCGACCGAAATGATCGAGTCATTACCGTCTCAAGCGCCGACCCCTTCCGGCGGTTCAGAGAATGAAGTTCCTTTTTCCAAACGCCGCAGCGTTGCTCCAACTGGGAGAATCACCAAACGTAAATCGCGTGCATCGAAGCGCGCTATGACGACATTTATTACGGCGGATCCAGCGAATTTCAGGCAAATGGTACAGCAGGTGACCGGCGTAAGATTCGGTGGCGATTTAAATGGATTTGTACCGGTTTCGCCGGTGTTGAATCCCGATCCGCAGAGGCCAAACTACATGTTTCAAACGGGTTGTACCTTGCCCACTCTTGACACTTCATCTTATTATCTGCTGGACCAGCAAGTGGTTCAGCCGCCAGTAATTAATGTTCCTCCGCCTTCCACGGCGGTGGCTGACGGCGGCGTAGCTGGTTTTAGCTTCGACACTTTTAGTAGTTTTCCCACCCTTGAGTCATGGCAAGTTATGTAATTATTTCGCTTTTTTATCTTGTTATTTTCATGGTTTAGGAAAATGTGAGGGGTAAAATGGGAAGATCTGTTAATATTTTGGGGGTGGTGTCATGTCATCCTTACTATGGATGTTCGTAACTCTGTTTTTCAGCATTATTTCATGAAGAGAAGCTGTTTACCACGTCGTGGCTCTATTTATTTTTATCAAATTTTTGACAAGTCACTTTTTTTTATTAATAGTTAAAAAGTAATTTTTAACTTATTTTTAAAGAAAATCGAAACCACGAACAAGATTCTTAAATGTGATACCAGTTAGAAAAGAGAAATCATTTGTAACCATGATCCATGAATACGTTCTCTGTGTGAAAAAATGGAAGAAGATATAAGAGAAAATGTCACTCCTGTCGCGAGGGGTATACGGGAAAATGTCACTCCTGTTACATTGCACTTGTCGGGACATTTCGGTATCCGTTTGGCCCTCATTATTCTCAATTGAATTATAATTCATTTTTCTTATTCTTCTTATCGATCACACATTTTTCAATAAAATAATATTACACGTAAATTCAAACAATTTCTTCTTTTTTAATCACATTTTCTAAAAAAAATAATATTTCTCTCATGATAATGTAAAATAAAGGTCATGCTACATGTATCGAAATTTTTTACACAATCTCTTACCAACTACTCACGATAGGCGTTGAGACCACATCTTGGGATTTTTTATGCACGTGGGGCCAACGTCGTAAACAATTCGATAGGGAGTATTATGTACAAAAAGATTTATCCGTAAAATAACGGGAGCCAAACTGGTGCGAAGCACTATTCCTCTCATATGAGCACTCATTTTTTTTTTTTTTTTCGTTTCCAACAAAAAACGATCACATTAGTCATTACTTGTTAAAGTGGTTAAACACTAAAATGTTATTCTTTTAGAACATCTTTTATTTTAGAGAATAATCTTGAATACTATTCGAAATTTAGAAGAATTGCGTAGGGTCATTGAACGGCTGGAAAAAACTTATTACTATTTTGAAGTGACATTATGTTATGAGATATACCTTGTTGATAGTCATCTCTTTTGTATTGTTCTATATTCTAGATGCTGCGAATTAGTGAATCCAGTTGGGATCGACTTAGTCTTCATAATTTAATTAGACAATTTGTTTATTACTAAATGACACATGACATGGATGTTTTGAAGATGTAATGGTATATAAACCCTAAGATGATGTATATGAGAATCCAGAAATATGGTTTTCAGTTCAGAGTCCTGCATTTCTTGTTAAAATTTTTTAAGGTAATTGTATTATTAGTTCTTAATTTAGTAATTTGGTTTATTAACATTTTGAAACGAGCAACTTATTCTTTTCGCATTATAGTTACACACGTACACTATCAATAACCGACAAAACAAATTGTTTAAGTCTATGTTAACTCGTCACATGAGATATGCTACAGTTACAGGAAAAAGTTTATATAAAAATGACAGAATACACACATGGAGGTGGGCCCCATTTTTTATAATGATATTTTACTCATATGGGGCCCACTCCCATGCGAGTATTTTGTCGTTTTTGCTGAAGAAACAGTTTTGTACAAGTGTATAATTCATCGTCACATTACTCGCGGGTTTCTTACTTTATGAAGAGATATCGAACTGGAGTGGTGTTCGAAACTTTGAACTGAGTTAATTCATGATCAATCAATAGACACTTTGAAAAATGATTATGCTCTGAATATGAATCCATGTAAATATTCTAAAAGCAAGCAAGCTGGCAACTTAGGATGTTTGATTAATTTGTCTCATTGTTAACGTTTCAATCTTCACATCATAAAATCATCCACTTCCGAAATTTCAAATTCTATCATAATGGTTATTGTACTATGTTAGGTAAGAGAAGCAGGTTGACTAGAATCCTTGTTCGTGAACGTTCCAAATGCAAAATAATAATAATTTAATAATGACTTTATTGTTTTTTTTTAATCGATAAATAAAATTTTATAAAGATTAAAAGTTATGAACAAATACTCTGAGCATATCCAGACTTACAAACTTCAAAGATGCACCAATGATATCAATCTCGATGCCCAGTGCTAAATATTCGTAATGATACAAAGAAAACATAACTTTGTACACCAGTATTTTGATTCGTTGAACTATGCTATTGGGATGTAGCCTTAGATATTCAAAGATCTTCCTGTTTCTAGCTGTCTAGATATGATAAATAGTGCTTCCAACGCAACTTTCTCGGCATTACATTGCCAAGATGTTCCATATTCTTCCTTCTCGATCCATTTCAAAGCTGTCCAGATCTTCCTTTTTAATAATGACTTTATTGTTATTTTATTAATTCGTCTGAAAACAGAATACTTCACCCAAAAATTCAAAATTTTAATAATAATTTAATATAAAAGATTAAAAATGGAATCAAAACAAGAGTCAAATAAGTGCTGCTTTAGCTGATTGTACTATTTGTCCTTTTCTTATCGACGTTACTAACTTTACAGTCTTTACTGCGCAACGTGCACCTTCTTAGCTTATAATACAATTATCCTATCTTCGAGTCCAACTCTCAAGACGCGTGTCCACTGAATAATTGACGCCCACCGTCCAAATTTCCTATCAGTTTAGCATCTGACGGTTGTCGTCTAATGTCGACTACTATTTCCACGTAATGATGATATCCCGTGTGTCGAGCCGCACGGTTGACTTCTGTGTCTGAAAATATCAGTGCAAGTCTCGTGGGCACAAGGAATACAAAGCAAGCGCCTAGTTGGCATTTTCACTACTAAGCCTCGTTTGGCTACCGTTTATAAATTATTTATAATTTGTAATGTTCATTTTCAATAGTTTATAAGTAACTCCCATATATGCTTTAAATAATATTTCACTTCAAATGTTGCTAGAATAATGCCCACTTTGTCAGATAAATTTGACATCCTGGATAACAAATGAAAGCGTGACAACAAGTCATTGATGCAAACACCGTCTTTTAAAAAAATAATAAAAAAAAAAATAGGCCAATAAATAGAATGTCACATGATATTCTGTCGAGAAAGGTGACAATTCCGTCTAGCAATGTAGCGAGGTTGATGTTGTTATCAAGTCTATATGTTTATAATGTTGTGTATTTATAATGAGAGGATTTCATAAGGAAAATTTGCGCTGTGACCTTTATAATCTGTTACAAATCTACCCTTGACGTATTTTAGCACTAGACATCCCCAACTTTTTACTTAATTGTAAATCACATTTCTATTGACAGAATCAGTGAGAAACGTTATCTTACCCACGTACACCTTACGCATTATTTCAATGTCGATATTTCTATATTCTTAAAGTGATTGTTAATTGCAGACACCGCCTCGAAGTTCTTGGCCACGGTGACTCTTCTTTGGGGGTAAAGTCTCATTTCCAATCAATTTCAATTCATACCCCTTTTGGCAACTTCTTTGTGGGTTAAAGCCCGCCCGAATATTTAAATATCAGAATTAAGTTTCAGAATGTAGGTAACCCATGTATAGTACAAAATCTGAGAAAGCAGGAACTGATATAAAGAACCCCAGTCCCAGATGAAACTCTGTATAAAATCTACATTTCAACTGTACCTTCTACTAGGATATTAGCAAGATGAGCACCTACATTTCTGTTGTATCCAGTGAAAATAGACGGGTACAGCCCGGATTAGCCTTGGCCGAGAAGAGTCAGACCAACTTTTCGCCTCTGATAATGTTGAATTTGCAGAGAGGACATATCGCATTTATGCGCAGCCATTTGGTGATGCATTTGTGGTGAAAATGATGGTTGCAAGGAAGTCTACACAATTCCACCCCATCAACGTACCTATAAAGGCATATGCAGCACTCCTGCAAGGTAAAAGAAGACTTGGTGCGAAGTGGAAAGCATTCGTAACCAAAAATTCTAAAGCAAATAAATCTCAAGCATTGCTTATTTGGTAATTAGTTCAGAAGTTTGGAAGTAGAGGTGAAACTTAATGATGGTTAATCTATGTCTAACATACAATACATGAGGTAATTAGTTGCAACAATTTAGTAAGAATACACGAATATATGCATACACAAGGGTTCTCCTTTCATGAATGTAAAAACATATCAAGAAAGTTTGTTTCGGCCATTTTTAAGGACGGTGATAGAACAAATTTGGATTTATGGATTTTGAAGCTTTTGGAACTGCCCTTTATATGCTCGCCCCTGACCCTTCACAATGGAGACTACAATGAAAAGGCCTACACGTAAGGTAAGTAATATTGAACAAGATTAGGTAGTATGATAAACAAGATTTTAGCTCTTTTTCTTCCTTAACACCGTTAGTGCTATGCAACCCTACTTACATGCCACTTAGTCTTAGCTCCCGTTTGGCCTCCATTATTCCCTTTTAAATTATAGTTCATTTTTCTTTCCCTTCTTATCAATCACACATTTTCCAATAAAATAATATTACACGTAAATCCAAAAAAATTCTTTCTTTTTTAACCACATATTCTCCAAAAAATTAATATTCTTCTAATTATAATGTGGAATAATGGAGGCCAAACGGGATCTTAACCTGTATAATTGCAACAGGAGATGGCGTTTTAACTATAGCAACCTAATGAACCCTTCCTGAAAATGGCAGCAAAAGGTTACCGCTGAAAAGGTGTGGAATCATTGTTTCATATAGAAAAAGAATGTAAAGGATTGATAAAGCTATTTTCATCAAATCATAAATCAAAAAGATGACAGTTTGGCATGACTTTTGTTTTTGCTTTTGCTTCCCGTAGAAGAGCTTTTGGAGAAAGCTAATTTAATTTTTGTTTGAAAACTAACTTTTAAAAGCACTTGCTATTCCGGAAGTGCTTTCAGAGAAAGCTACACTAAACCAGCTTCATCTACTAGAAGCACTTTCATAAAATTCGACAAACAGGATCAAAAGCAACTTTTGGATCTCAAAATCTCATTTTGGCTTTTCAAAAGCCATGCCAAACAGGGTCCAAGTGCTTGTGTGGAAGTTATTATTTGAAAGGTAATATTTTGAAGAATATATGGTTTAAAAAGTAGGCAAAAGTTATGGGGAAACGTGAAAATTGATTTTTTATGGAAAATGTGGTTGAAAATGAGTATGGGGAGAAAAAGTGGTTTTCATAATGAGGACTCAAAAAGATAAATGACATTTTTAAAACAGTCCCAAGAAATGAAACAACTATTACAAAACGAACAAAAGAGGCAGAAATGCTCACAGAATCCTCGAGACGAAGTGCTAGCTCAGCAGCAGAGTTTCTCTTATCAGACTTTGTTATTAATTTAACTCCGTCCATTCTACCCTTGTCAAGTTCTGTCAAAGTACCGGGCTCGCAATATCTGTACTTTGGAAGTGCCATAATATCACTTTCCGAGGCTCCACCACCAATAGTCATAGCATAGGCAACCGTAGCTAAGATTGGAAAGCAACAAAACAATGCAAAGAAAATAATACATGCCATTATGATGCAGAAGATCGTGAAGAACACGTCGAATGCAAGAAAAACCACCAATAACCTGCAGTTTAAGGAAATTGTTATTAAGAGCTCCATGCTCTAGTATGCCGTATATTACAGAAGAAAATTGACAAAGGCTATTGCTCCATTTAAACCACGTGTGTATTATAATAGAAGCAAATTAGCAAAAGCATCGATTTCTTCCTGAAGTCTGAAAAAAGATTATATTTATTGAGGCACGCATGATGAGTATCATTATTTCGATAGAATGTTTCTTGATTTGCATTGAGTGTCAATTTCCCTTTTCGGTTGAGGAGGGATGTTTTTTGTTCATACAATAGGACATCAATCTTTTAGCTAGACAAGTTATCTTGAAATGGTGCAATTCTGCATATCAGGATGGCAACAGGTTGTAACTGATCAAATGGCTCAGATTATTTGTATTCAATGCAAACTATTCCAAATGTACACGAATTTTACCAGTATAGACGAGGAGAATCTTGCAGAAGCGCTTGGCCACCCATTATAATCCAATAGAATCCCACAATCCACCAGATTGATGAAACTACTGTATTAACTGAATACATCTTCTTGATGATGCTGAAAGGAACAAAATTATTCCATGGTAAAAATAGTTTTCAATTCATCAACATCAGTAACATAACAATCAGTTTGATCACCCATGCTAATTTATAAACCACCCCTTCCCATCCTTGGACCCTCTCAACAGAACAACCAACACAGCAAACTAAGGGCTTTCCCACCAAATTCGGAGCCGGCTACGTCAATTCTTTTACATCACTCTCTTCTGCTCATTGTAGATCTCTTAAACAATAGGTACTTGGCGTCTATCACAGGCCATGTTATTTGAAGTCTACACCACCCTATTCTGATTTTATGTTTGTACAAAGTATAACCCAACTACTTAAAATCGTTCATCCCCAATAACCACTCTCGATTTAAGGTTTACTGTCTTCAGGTTAAGCAAAATATGTCCCATCTCAGTAGTCCTCCCCTTAATTTAGTCTTGATCATTACCACCGAGTAGCAAGAAATTTAGGTAAGCCACAAAATACATCATTTTCGACAACTGAACATGGATACCAATATCAACACAACCACAGATACACCCAAATTAGAAGCATTCAAATACAAAACCTAAACATCTTTATCGATTTCACATCATCAAGAAGTTCAATATATACAACTAAATCAGGACTAAAACTACCTGTTTTGACAGAGGGAAGAAAAAGGTAATTCCCTATCAAGATGAAAATCTTCAACCCGAACATCAAAACTGGACCTTTGGTATTGAGCCCACACAAAACCCACACGCACAAGGCACTGCAAAGCGTACCCACCAATCCACAGCCGTAAAGGAGTGGAGGGATTTTCTTGAACGGTAGTCAAGAGAACAAAAAGAGACACCAAAACAAATGCCAGGTTCCAAGTAATGTCAAGAATTACAAAGGGCTTTGAGTAAAGGGAGTCTCCAGTAAGTGGTGCTGGTGAATCGTCATCGTCGTCGCTGTTGACATAATTTCCCGGTTCATCTGGTA